GTTTCAGGAGTTCGATGGCGTTTCTTGGAAAGTCACTGAATAAGATTATTACGCTCTCGTGTAATTGAGGGCACCGTTGCTTGCTGGCAGAGCTCTTCTATTTCCTTATTTTCATGATGTCACTTTTCAAACTTACTAGAGAATAATTTCAATCATTCAAGTTGCATTGCTTTAAAAAAGACAAACAAAAACATAACATTTGGATATCATCAAGAACTTCAAGTTGTAACAGTCCTTAGCTTTAAAGGTCACGAAATTAAATAAAAAAGAACTAACACTTGACTTAAATTTGTTCTGTTAGTCTCCAACTCCATTTATAATGCGATCGTTTATCTCAAACTATAGTGATGCTGAGAAGTACACCTGTCCTTTGTAATTTCTGTTAGATATCCCTCTCTCTTGGTATGGTTAATTACTTCAGTCACATAATTACGCGGATGTTCGAGACACTTTAGGGACAACGAGAGTCAAATTATACAGTCAAATACTTGTTCGAATCGAAATCGCTATGTAAATGTCAAGGTGCTTTTTTGCAGATAGTCAATAAAGTAGTCCGAACAGTGTTGAAATAAAAAGCACCGTTGTTACTTCGGTGTAAATTCTATAGTTTTCTTAAGTAGTAGTTATCGCATCTACGTTTTATCTATGGAGATTGAAAGGTACTTCTCAGTAGAGCGATCTCCGTCAACATGAAATGTTATTGACTGCTTTTTGGGAGCGCAAATTATCATTATATGGTAAATTATCAGGTTTTGTTCACGTGATTAAGCTAACAAATATTTCTGTCAGTTCAGTGAAACTAACCATCCTTGCAAAATGCCGTTTTCTTGAGAGTGCGCAATAAGTGAGGAATGTGGAAAAAATCAGAGATCCTTTGTCTCTGAGCAATATTTACCTGGATCTGATAGATAAGAGCTCAAACTAGGTGGAAAATGGCCAGGTTCACGCAATTTATCTTGAGACATGACTTTGTTATTCTTTCAAAGAATTGTACAAGTGTTT